TATATATATATATATATATGTATGTATGTATGTAGTTATGTATGTATGTATGTAGGCATGCAGTATATGTGTATGTATGTCCGTATAGCCTATACCAGCCCGGCTTACCCAAAGTGAAAACGACTGAGCTGCATTCAGACCGGAGGGGATTAAATGGAAGCCAAAGCCACTTCACTCGCGCATCAAAATAATAAAGAGAGGGGGGAGGGGGAGGGGGAGGATAGAGGAGGGAGAGGGAAGGAGGGTGGGTGGGTGGGTGGGTAGGTGGGTGGGTGGGAGGGAAGGTTGGAGGGAGAGGGAAGGAGAGGGAGGGAGAGGGAGGAAGGGAGGGAGGGATAGAGAGAGAGAGAGAGAGAAAGAAAGAAAAAGAGAGAGAGAGAAGAGAAGGAGAGGGAGGGAGGGAGGGAGATAGAGGGAGGGGGAGAGAAAGGGAAAGAGAGAGAAGAGAAGAAAATAGAAAAGACGGGAAGAGAAAAGAGAAGAGAAGAGAGGAGAACAGAAGAGAAGAAAGAGAATGATAGAATGAGAGAACGAAAGAAAGAAAGAGAGGGAGAGGGAGAGGATAGAAGAGAGAGAGAGAGAGAGAGAGAGAGAGAGAGAGAGAGAGAGAGAGAGAGAGAGAGAGCAGAAGCAAAAGCGGGGAAGCCTGTAGCCGCCAAGGTCACCCGAGCGCCGCCAGAGTCCATGACCTCGCCTCGCGGGGCCGGAACGAGGTCACGGCGTTGGAGGAGGGGGGAGGGAGGGAGGAAGAGGAAGGAGGGAGGAAGAGGAAGGAGGAAGAAGGAAGAGGGAGGAGGAGGAAGGAAGAAGGAAGGACGGAGGAGGAAGAAGGAAGAGGGAGGAGGAGGAAGGAAGGAGGGAGAAGGGAGGAGGGAGAGAGGAGGAGGAAGGAAGAGGGAGGAGGAGGGAGGAGGGAGGAAGGAGGGAGAAGGGAGGAGGGAGAGAGGAGGAGGAAGGAAGAGGGAGGAGGAGGGAGGAAGGGGGAAGCAGGGAGAAAGGAGGAATGTAGGAGAGGTAAAGAGACTGGAAGGGAGTGAATGGAGGGAGCAGGGGAAGGGGAGAAGGGGGGGAGGGGGTTACTAATCGCGTTCCCTCTTTCTCCCTTCCCTTCTCCCCTTCATATCCCATCTAGGAAGAGGAGGAGAAGAAGAAGAAGAAGAAGAAGAAGAAGAAGAAGAAGGAAGGAAGAATGGAGGAAGAGAGAGAAGGCAGAAGAGAGTGATGATAATGAGAGTCTTGATGATATTCATTTTGAAGATGGGTGAGAGGAAGAAGAAAAAAAAAGGGAAAGAGGGAGGGAGGAGATAAAAGAGGAGCCGACGAGAGTAGAATTGGGAAGTGGGAAGGAAAAAAAATTGGCAAGAGTAATGATAACTATAATAACAATGGCATTCATACTAATGATAACAATCCAGGATAACAATGGAATCAAACGGAAACAACAAATCACACTAAATGAGAAGAAAACAACAACAACAACAACATCAACATTAAGAACAACATCAACATGATCAACAGCAACATCAACAACAACAATAACAACAAGTCTTGAACCCCGGAAGCGAAGATAAGAGAAGAGGGAAAGAGATAAAGAGGAAGAAGGCTTAGTAGAAGATGAGAGGAGAGGAGGGGAGGACAGGAAGGGGTCGATATGTGTGTACGTGTGCGTGTGTGTGTGTGTGTGTGTGTGTGTGTGTGTGTGTGTGTGTGTGTGTGTGTGTGTGTGTGTGTGTGTGTGTGTGTGTGTGTGCGTGCCTGCGTGTACGTGTGCGTGTGCGTTGTGTTTGTATTTGTATGTATGCATACATGCGTGTGTGTATGTATGTATGTGTTTATGTATGTATGTATGTATGTATGTATGTATGTATGTGTATGTATGTATCGTGTGTAAAGTGAGCCGACGTACTCGCTCGGGATCGATATATGTCATAGAGTGGTGTGGCGCGGGTGGATGCCGCTGCGGTCGATAATGGGGAAGGGACGGGGGGGGGGGGGGGGTGATGGAAGCAGGGCAGGTAGGTTGACAGGCAGGCGGATAGGCAGGAAGGTTGACAGACTAGCAGGTAGGCCGACAGATAGAGAGATAGAGAGGCAGATAGGGAGATAGGTAGATAGGTGGTTGCATGAGTGAATAGAAAAAAAAAATAGTGAGAGAGAAAAAAAAGGAATAAGTACATGAACAGAGAGAATGGCGAAAGAGAAATACCAACGAAGAGAGAGAAAAGATATAGATATAAATAGATATAAACTCAAATCATTCTAAATACACTTCAAGGCACTTCAAAGCTTCCCAGAGACATCTCAAACACTTCAAGACGTCAAGACATTTCAAGATATTCCTAAAGATATCCTAAAGACTTCTCAGACATTTCAAGATACCCCAGGATACCTCCAGACACTTCAAGACGTCTCAAAGACATTACAAGACACTTCAAGACACCCCTATAGACACCTTTCTGCACCACTGGCTCCTAGATTATGGCGAAACTTTGCTCTTAAGACATTCTAAGACATCTGAAAGCTTCTCCAAACATCCCCGAGATACTTGGAAACACCCAGAGACAACCCCAAAACACTTCAAGACAATCCAAAGACACTGAGAGGTACCTTAAGATACCCCGAGGCACTTCAGGATACCGGAAGACAAATGAAAGACACTTGAAGACACCTTAAGACAACCCAGGGCACCCAAAGACACACTGGCACTCCCCAAGACACAGCAAGATGCCTCAAGACAACCCAAGACAACTCCAGACGCCTAGAGATATCGCAAGATCACCCAGAGAGACGCCCAAGACAACTCAGAGACACCTCAGAACGCCCAGGACTCCCGAAAGACACGCCGGAACGCCTCGCAAAACCACCTCGAAACGACCCAAGACACGTCACGACACCTCCAAACGCCCGTAGACACCCCGTAGACACCTCAGAACTCTCTCCAAGACACCTCAGAGCTCTCTCCAAGACACCTCAGAGCTCTCCAAGACACCCCAGAGCTCTCTCCAAGACACTCCAAGACAACCCATACGACGCTCCAAAAAATCACGGCCGGGGAGATCACGCCGCACGGACGAACGCGCCGTCGAGGAAGAGGAAGAGGAGGAAGGCGATAAAAAAACAAAAAAACAAAAAAAAGGAGAGGAGAATTAACGCGATAAACAAGATGATTGGATGATTGGCGGGTAAATGGAGTTTGAATTAGTTTATGATGTGATTATATGTAGCAGATTGCTTGTGCGACGGTATGAGGTGGCGTGGAGGGGGGGAAGGGGGGTGAGAAAGGGGGGGGGAAAGAGAAAGGGAGGGAGAGAGGTGGAAGAAATGGATGGGAGGCAGGATAGAGGAAAGGGAGGGAAGGGAGGGTGGAAGAAAGGGAAGGGAAGGGAGGATAGAGGAAAGGGAGGGAAGGGAGGGTGGAAGAAAGGGAAGGGAAGGGAGGGTGGAGAGAAGGGAGGATGGAGGGAAGGGAGGGAAGAGGGGGAAGTAGGGAGGGGAGAGAGAAAGGGAGGGAATGCGGAGACGAATAGGGATAATGGTAGAAATAAGGAATGATAGGAATAAAAGAGAGAGGAGGGATGGAGGGTGAAGGAGAGGGGAGGGAAGTGGAGAAAGAAAGGGGAGGGGAGAGAGAAAGGGAGGGGAAGGAGGAGGAGAAAAAGAGAAGAATTGGGGTGGAAGAGAAAGAGAGAGGAGGGGGGGAAGAGAAAAAGAGAGGAGGGGGGAGGAGAAGAGAAAGAGAGAGAGGGAGAGAGAGAGAGAGAGAGAGAGAGAGAGAGAGAGAGAGAGAGAGAGAGAGAGAGAGAGAGAGAGAGAGAGAGAGAGAGAGAGAGAGAGAGAGGAGGAAGTTGTGTTGAGTAATGTATTGACTCCCCTCCGCGGCTGGAGCGTGCAATTGCAGTGATTTGCATATTGACATTGCAATAACGGACTTTAGTGTGTGATCTCGTATGATTATATTTAGTTTGGAATTTTCATGGTTGTCAGCTTTTGTCATGTTGTATATGTGTATATCTGTCATGAATGTTTTGTCTTTTAATTTCAGTAAGCGAGAGGGAGAGGGAGGGAGAGTGTGAGTGAGAGTGTGAGCGTGAGTGAGAGTGAGAGTGAGAGTGTGAATGCGAGTGTGCGTGTGAATGTGAGTGAGAGTGTGTGTGAGTGTGACTGTGAGTGTGTGTGAGAGTGAGAGTGAAAGTGAGAGAGAAAGAAAGAAAGAAAGAGAGAAAGAGAAAGAAAGAAAGAAAGATAGGTGGGGTTAATGATGGGGGGAAGGGAGCGTATGTGTCTGGTTTGGTGAAAAATTGGCCTCGAATGACCTGTGAAAGGCTAGATGAAAGGAACGCCTTCATATTGTATTTGAAACCTCTGTTTATGGTGCAAAGAGGGAGCGAAACACCGTTGCAAACACAGACAGACAGACAGGCAGATAAGCAGACAGACAGACAGACACAGACAGACCGACGGGCAGACATACATACAGACAGACAGACTGACAGACAGACAGTCGGGCACAGACAGACAGTCGGGCACAGACAAACCGACAGGCAAACAGATAGACAGACAGACAATCAGACAAACTGATAGACAGACAGATAGACAGACAGATAAACAGACAGAAAGATAGACAGACAGACAGACTTGAGCCTTAGAATCACCTTGTTAATGCTGAACTGTGGAATCGAAAATCTGGGTAGATGGGGGGGGGGGAGGGGGGGAGGAATAAGTCTGGCCTTGTACAGAGTATGACCTTGAATGGCCTGCGCCGGGGGGGGGGGGGGGGCTTTGAGTGGCCGGATCAATGGGAGTTCAAACACCTTTATGTACATTGAAGCGTTTGTGTCTGTTGCTTTGCGAAATTGTAGGGAAAAGGGGAAGAGGGGGGGGAGGGGGAGAAGGGGAAAGGGATGAGAGAGAGGGAGGGAGGGAGGGAGGGAGGGAGGGAGGGAGGGAGGGTGGGCGGAGGGGAAAGGGAAGGAGAGAGGGGAGGGAGAGGACTGTGTATG